CTTGTGTAGTTCTCCTCTGATTTTCTACAGTTTCTCTGTCTCTCTCTCCTTTTCTCACTAGATTTCTTAGATTCTTTCGCAATTTTGTAGAAGATAATTATTTCGCTCTGTCTTCTTTTCCTCCTATTATGGGTTTGTTGACATCAACTTGTTTATAGTTGTGTGTGTGTGTGTTTTTTACATTCCCTATATAGCTCTTAATCACAGCAGGAGGAAAATTAAGTCTTACCCTCCAATTAGTTTGATTTTCAGGGAATGAATTTCTCCTGCTGGTAGCATCCGAAATAAGCTCGATTTTGGAGAAAAATAAGTCCTCTTTTGAAGCTTCAATTTTGAGAAAGGTAACAATTTCAGATTCTTCTGAAATTTTTTTATTCTCATTCGTTCGCTCAAATGTTTTGTTATTTTAGTTTTTTTTGGGTTTTCACGTGGTACTTAATTCTTGGTTTTTAGTTATAGTTTATCTGATAGTGTTGGTGATAATTATCCTCCAGTTTCGTACTTCATTTTCTTGACTATCCGATCCAAGTAAAAGCTCAGAGTGATTTGTCCAGGGTGTAAGCAGGATTGGAGTTTTCAGACGGCTGATTGGCAATTTTGAGGTACAATCCTTTTAATTATCGTAATGGGTGCAAGTTTACATGGTCTAATACTGAGATGTGGTTTGGAGTTGCCTTTTGTAGTCTTAAATTATCTGAATTTAGGTGGATAAATAGTATGTACAAGCTATAAATATGTTAATGCCACCAAATCGGACACTATCAGAAGCTTGTAAATATAATTCCTCGAAAATTCTGTTCTAGGCCCTGATGCAGCAGAAACCATGAACTATTTTCAATATATGCAGTCAAACCAATATATTTTTCATCCCCTTATTTTTAAATTATGTTCTGTTGTATTGAAGTATGGTCTCGGAAGGTTTATTTCTCATGAATTTGATCTGAAATTCGGGATTATACTTAAAAGAGCACTTGTTGCCACTTGTTAAGGATTAGCCTATTGCTTATAAAATATTGAGAAATATGAAGAGTAATGATGATTTACTGCTATATTGGATGTATTTATTGGTGTTATGATTTTGTGGATGCTCTTTATTTTGTTCCTTGTGAATGATTTCAAGGATTGAATGATTTTCTTGGCCATAATTTTAACGTTTGGCTTGAAATGTTCCTTTTATTAGTAGCATGTCCAATTTGCTATTTTTCTAATCCTGCATAGGCCTTATATGCTACGTTCAACCTTTAATAAGTATTACTCTCTTCATAAGGCTCTTAATAGATATTGATGAATTTAAAAAGCACAGTTTGAGATTACATTTTATTTTCCTACTACTGTACTGTGTTCCTTTCTTTTTCTTTTTCTTTTTTCTTATAAGGATAAGGTAAAGGTTATCTATTTGGGCTTTACTTGCAGGATCACCCACAAATCTTTCTTGGCAATACTCCTGAGGATCATGCTGCCATTACGTGGGTTCTCATTGCCTATTTGTTTTGATATTCTGATGTTGGCTGGCTACCACCAGGCAGATTTATCCTTCTTGGTTTTTACTAAGGTAGATTCTTTTATAATCTTACCTCTTTTATGTAGACATCTTCACACAGCTATGCTTTATACTCTAATAGAAATTTAGTTACCTATTAATTTTTCTTTTCGCTGTAAATCCTATCTCAAATTTCTCATCATGTCTTTCATTCTGCAGATGATTTTATTGCTAAAAATATTTGTAAAAACCTGAAGTACAAATGTTGGCGACTATCGATGTGTAATATCAGCGAATGTGCCAGGTAATGTGCTTTCTTTTTATGAATACTAATATCTTTTCTGCTATGGTAGAATGATTCTTCTTCTTGTTAAATTTTAGTCTAAAGATGGTTTTCCACTAGGGGTCCAAATCGGTATATCACTAGACTTGAGAGATCATAAACTTGGAGGTTGCGAAAGAGTGATTTTGAAAAGTTGTTGTTCTTTCCGGAAGCGGGGCATGTGAATGGAAGTGTAGATATTGTGAGAGCTATACGTATAATTCGAGCTTATTTGTGGACATTTAATGATCTAATTGAAAAGTCTATCGCCAAATGCAGTTTGGAACTTCACTAATGGAGCATGGACGACGTTATTATTAAGATAAAAAAAATAGCAATAATAACTTATACTATAGTTAAATATGAGTGTAATAAAAAAATGAAATATAACTGAAAGATTTTCAGAAGTAAAAATATCTTGGTTGACTGAAAATAGATATCAGGAAAGACAGATGTGCAGATAAAATATGAAAAATGGTGAAAGTGGAAGTTGAAATATGAATATGAAAATTTTGGTTTCTAGATACACATCTCTTAGAGACTACTATCATGGGAAGTCCGAAGAAAGACTTAGAATCTTTTTCTGCTGGTGGTTTTAATATATTTTATTGTAATGTCACATTTAAATATTATCTTGGTTTATGCAAAAAGCTTGACATTGTGTGAGAGTGAATATTTGAAAATTGTGAAGCATGTGCATTACATCAATCACTCATATGGTGGCTTGACAAAGGATTCGAGAAGTTGATTCTGGCACTGAAAATTTTATCCATGGCGGATAGAATTGGAACAAGATAATTGAACTTGGTAAAATCGCGTGTATAATTAAAATTCATATTCTGCTCCGCTTTGGTATATTCTTTCTCCTATAAGCTCAGCGAATTTCTTCTTCTATTTTATCTTTAGAATACAACTCAACTTGGTAAAATCTCATGCATATTTTTCTTCTTCTAAACTTTGATTTGAATTGCTGGACAAGTGATCTTTCAAGAACTTACCTGATGGAAATAACAACTTCTACCTTGAATTTATTTGTGCAGGCCGTTGCTTCCCTTGGAAACATACCAGGTAATACCTAGAGTCTAAGTTCACTTCGAGCACAAAAAAATATGTGTGTTTCCTCTTCTTCTCCCACATTTTCCCCCAATACTCTCATACATAGAAATATGGAAATCTAGCTAGCATCTTAAGTGAAATTCTCCGTCCTATAATCTGGTACAACAGGTGAAATAGTGCTAGAGTACAAAAGCGAAAGCAAATTCATATCAAATAGCCAAAATGCAGCTTATCTAGATTTCTTTTTTCTTTTCCTAACAATGAAAAGGAAAAGATCAACCATGATTAACTAATTCCTTGAGTTCATTATATCTATGTGCCGTTGCACTCCTATTCCTATACAACTATGTGTGATATTTGTATGTACTCGCGACTTTATTTACTGGTAGACGTCTTTTGGAGTGCGTGAAATTTTAGCCTACAGCTTTTTGAAAGCTACATCAAAGCACAAACGGTGATGTATGACAGATAATAGTTTGAAAGGTATGTCAATTACGACCAAACTAATTTTGTTGTCTTGCTTCTATCACTTCTCTCTATTATTTTTATTTTGAAAGAATGAGATGGCTACACTAACAAATAATCCCCCCACGCTCACCATTATTTTTGTCGGAGGCAGGCAAAAAAGGATCCTAACCACAGCATGATGGTTGCACTATATTTTGTAAATATGCCAATAGTTTAGATGTGAACAGATTACTCCCATGCATGAAAAGTATGTTCTGTTCGGCAACCACACAACATCCAAGAATGGACATTTTGTTCCTTTATGTATGTAAATAATGTTTAGCAGTTAGTATTTGATGTTATCTTTATCCAATTTGATTGTCAATTACCTGTATCAGTTTTTATTATCTGTAATTTCATATAAAAACGAAGATAATGAAGTTCCCGCTTTTTATATTATTGGGCCCGTGCTGGCACGGGCGATCACTGCCTAGTCATCTAAAATGAGGTGAAAAATTGGAAATTGGACAAGTGTTTTCTTCAACAAATGGCACATTATGGGATATATTAACACTCTTCTCTTCCAAGTAGAGAACTAGAAGGACAATTGTCTGTGCACTCACTCCAAGTGCGGATTGCTAGTTTTTATTATTAGAAAAATTTATTCTTCATTTCGTCTATCTTTTATAGATGTTGTTTTTCGTAAAGTTCACCTTATCTCTATTTACCGTAAAATGGTACAGTTGAATTTATACGTGGTTTCTAGATAACTGAACTAATCTAATCCTGAAATAATAAGATAATTGAAGAATTATGGAATATTTAGCGTTAACATGTAGACGAAACAACAGAAGTGACAGTTCCGGGAACAAGGTCTCCGGGCACAACAATAGTGAAATCAAAAAGCGAGAAAGTAGGATTGTATTAAGGTTTGTATAGAATGTAGTGTAAGTTTGCCAGAAAATTCGTGTCCATTACAATAATAAGTGAGCTCACTATTTATAGCTGTATCTAGGGAAGGAGGTCCTAGGATCGTGCACTCCTTTAATGTCAATTATGAGGGTCATTGGTAAAGATGTAACGGTGAACATAAATAAAAAATTGCTCCTAAATGCGATAGAATATTCTTTATTAAATGCTACCAGGCGCAAAGCATTTAATACACTTTTATCAACGTTGTTCCTTCCGGTGACAGGCGGAATAGCTGCGTTCGGTCTCTGGCCATTCCCGTCTTGGGTTCCACGTGTCCTTCCTTTAGATGACCACGTGTCATAGCATATTTTGCCCTATACATGTCCCACTGCTTTCCGGTGACATAACTTTGTGTTACCGGAAAGTTGGTAGAAACACTCTTTTGGCGGAAATTACTATAACCCCCTCTGAAGGCTTCTGACGGTTGATTAGATGCACGCCTCTCCGCATTTAATGCCCCGGACACGCGTCATCCCATGATTCAGCACAACTTTTGCCGATTATCGAGATAATCATGTCCATGAATTTAGCCGCCAAAATTTTACTTATACGCATCATCCTTCTCCCTTGCACTTCATAATTTTGCAAGCTTCCGATTCGCACCTTTATTTTTCATCTTTTCTCTAATTCTCTTCGAACAAAAAACCTTTTCCTTCTTCCATACAATGTCTTCTTCTTCGAAGCGCACCAGTTCTTCAAAGAATAAGAACAAAGCCGAGGACTCTGTTCTTCCAACAGTGGGTTCCATCATCCGTAGAAGTCTTATTACCACAAAAGACTTTGAAGCTACTGCTAGCTCTCGTACATGGGTTGTCAGTAGGTACCCTTCTTCCATTCGTCCTTCCAGCAGCCCTGTTATGAAGGAAGACTACCGCTGCCATGAGTTGGATATTATTGCTCCTGATCTATAGGAGCGAGTGACCCTTCCAAGGAGGGTTTTACATATTTTACATATATCCCTTTACTTTGGGTGCGTTTTCTTTGAGTGGAGAGCTCGATTCCGTGATCGCGGAGTTTTGCCTCCGCTACCAAATGTGTTCGGCATAAGTAAGTCCTTCTGTGTGGAGGACGGTCGCTTACCTTCGACGTTTGTGCCAGGAGACTGGAGAAGAGCTAACCTTAGCTCATATAATGGATCTCTACTCTCCTAAGATCTTCCGTGGGAGAATGATAAACCTCAGCAAACGAGACCACCATGCTCTGTTGACTAACATGAATGATGATAGCGACCGTGGGTGGATGGAACAGTTCGTTGCAATTGCCACCAACGATATCATTCCGACAACGGCTTCATCCTTTCCGGTCGCTTGGAACCGCACTCGCAAGATCTTTATTTAATGTTTACTTTTACTAAATATTCTTCTATGGTCGTATTATCCTTCATCCTTCACATTTCAGCAACTCGATGGATCCCACCGACAGTTGAAGGTTTCGACCGGTGGGTTCAGAAGATCTTGGACGTTACGACGTCTGAAACTCGTTTGTGGAAAGAATTGGACCCTAAATACGGGTAGAAGGCCAAAAATCATGGTAATTCAAACTTACCTTGTTTCCATTTTTCATGTGAAGAACTTGGTCGATCTCTTCTGACTTGTCTATGAAATTAGGTATACCCGTGGGCTCTTTTGTTGTCCCCGAGGAGGATATTTTGGCTGATCCTGCTGATGCGGTGAGGCTGCTTCAGGAGGCGCTTACTCGAACAGGTATCTCCGGGCCTGCTTCGGGCACAAATGCTTCTTTACGGAGTCCTCGGCCGGAGGACAAACAATCAAAAAGAAGACACTCCTCTGCGGCCAGGGAAAAGAAAAAGAGGGCGAAGACTATTACCCCTGAGTCATCTCTGGAAGTTGTGATCACTAATCCTCCTCCCAGGTCGGTCATAGATACCGTGATGATCAATAATGATGGAGAAGCTAGTGATGATGAGGCTTATCTACACAGAAGGCGACGTTCATCATCAACTCAACAGAATGCTTAATTTGTTGAGTTAGTTACACCAACCGAGGGCGACGCCTCGGCCCTTTGGGGGAGTTTGATCTGGTGGAAAATGCCAACTCCCATTGTTGGACCCCAATAGCCGTGCTCGGTACTGTGGGGCTGAGTATCGGGTCCCTACCGTCTTTGGTTGGCGAGCACCCAACAACCAGCCCTGCACTCGATGTAGCTGCTTCACACCCTTCAACTCCATCAGCTTCATCCCCGTCTTCACCAGCACCAGCAACTGCTACATCATTTCCATCTTCATCCACTCTTCCACCTAAAACTTCTACATCATCTCCACTGACCGCATCCGACCACGAAGAGGATGTTCCTCTTCCCCAGTCCCCAGTTTAGGGGACTTTGGGGCAAAATTATGCTGCCCCTTCTTAAGATTCACAAAGGAGGAGGAACGTTACCCTTTCGGTCTCTATCGGGTGCAACCTTCTCTCCCGACCGGTGGAGCTTGCTAATTATCTTAAGCCTTTGGCTTCAGAGAAATATTGGGAAAAGATTCGGGCATTCTCGGGAGAGTGTTTGTTGAACAACGCGATGTACAATGCTTTAGTGGTACGTCCCTTTCTTCCTTCATTATTTCTTCTATTTTTTGTAAGAGCATATCCTGCTTTTTACCCTTCTTGCTTGATAGCCAACTTTCTTGGTTCCGGGGGCCTTCAGATGTTGATTCGTGAGAAGGAGGTACTTGCTTCTGAGCGGGATCAAATTTTGGCGGAACGGGACCAGGCCGTTATCCGCCTCTCGGAATTGGAAGCCAAAGGTGCCGAGGCTATTGTATTGGAGGCTCGTTTGCAGCAAAGCAAGCAAGAGTTGGTAACCCTTAGCCAAGAAATTGGCCCGCTGAGGTTTAGATTTAACGAAGCCAAGGCCAAATGGGTTGAAGTCCAGGATGTCGTTCTTGTTGTAACTGAACGCGAGGCTGCCACCGCTGAAAGAGTGACTGACTTAGAGGCGGCCTTGAACTCCAAAATTGAAGAGCTTGCTGTTGTAGGGGCAAAACATGCCCAGCTGGAAGAGAAGCACCGGAAAACTATCGAGCATAATAGGCTCTTTAGTTCAACTGTTGGTGACCTTGATGTTAGCCTCAGATCTGTTAGGTCCGCTTGGAAAAGCCTTTCTACCGAGGTAACCCGACTCAAAGAAGAACTCAAGCGCCGAGCGGCTTCCCTCGTTGTTGAGACAAGTTACACCATGTACAACATGAGGAGAAAAACCTTGGAAGAGGTCAGAGCAGGTATCATTTATTTTGATGCCGAAATTGCTAAGGCCCGTGAGCTTGAGTTAACTGCTAAAAATGGACTCCCAATGCAGTCTGATGCTCCTGGCCCTTCTGGTTCCGGTTCTGAGTTCTCGAGAACTGAAGAGGAATCAGAGGACGATGATGCTGAAGGTCAAATTGGGAGAAATGTCGAGCCATCAATAGACCAATCTACTTCTCCCGGGGACACGGACACTTCTCTTCCTCCTGGTTCTGGAGATACGACAGTTTAGCTTTTCTTTTCTTTTTCCAATTTTGTACCTTTGCCGTTTTGGCATGTTTTTGTAAATAAAGACGTATTTTTTTCTCAAGTATTGTTTGAGTCTTACTTTCATTTAAATATCCATGCAAGTCTTTAACCTTTGCATTTGCTTAAGAACTCTGCGCACATTTTTTTGTTTGCGTTTTATATGTGCAACCTCAGATGCATTTTCCCCGAAGCGCTTTTGGTTCCGAGCATCAACCCTTTTACGTGAGGGTTTCTATAAGTATTTGCGCAAGTTTACTTTTTGCGTCCTTTCGTGTATGTCTTCGGGTGTATTTTTCCCCAAAGGCATCATTCCGGGCATATATTCTTCCGAAACTAACCCTTTAACGTCAGGGTTTTCATAAGAGAGGGCCCTCTTATGTTTACGGTGCTCTTGAAGAGGACATCTCCTATTCATTATGACACTAGCATTTGAAGTACTTATTTAACTTTTAAATGACAAAGTAATTCATCGTTTAGACAAGAAATAACATAAAAACAAAAGGATTTCATTTCATTTAATTCCTTCTATTTTCAAAAGTACACAAACATTTACTGTTACAACCCATATTTACATACGTTAGTTCATGCCATAGGGTCGTCGACGTAAATCCATGAAGAGATTATCTTTGAGATGATAAGAGATTAATCTTATTGGTCTTAAATGATACAAAGGTGTATAAGGGTGGTTAACAAGTATTAGAAGTTAAACGAATCAAGGATGTTGTCAGCCGTATTTTTGGGTAAACCTAGGGGTGCTTAATACTCTCAAGAGGTCGTATTTTAAGGTATATGAATCATAAAATATCCGTATCATAGTCTTGAAGTCAAACGAGTTATGAAACAAAAGTCGACAAGAGTTGTTGCAACTTAAGTTCATAG